GATGTGGAAAGTCTTCTTGGGGCCTGTGATGGGGGTGAGGGAGGAGGTGTGGGGGCAGGTGTAGCACTTCCTGCGGTTGCAGGGAAAAGTGCCGGGTGTGGTGGGGCTGGAGGGGAGTGTGGAACGGACAAGGGAGTCACGGAGAGAGTGGTCCCTCTGGAAAGCAGATAAGGGTGGGGAGGGAAAAATGTCTTTGGTGGTGGGGTCGGATTGCAGACGGCGGAAGTGTCGGAGGATGATGCGTTGGATCCAGAGGTTGGTGGGGTGGTACGTGAGGACGAGGGGGATTCTTGTTTGGTTGTTATTGCGGGGATGGGGTATTTGAGAGATTGTTTATTATTATTGAATTCAGTCCTAAATTAACCATCTGTTCCAACTGCCTTGTACTGTAGTTCTTCCTGAATCTAAACTTCTTCTTCTGATGCCCTTGTATACCATAATTTATTATTCTAGATTAAATTTAATCTTGTTAACTGGTCTTTTATAGTTCTGACTAGAAAGCAAATAGCGCATTAGATTTGTGCAACTTTTGTACAAAGTCCAAAAGTCCAAAGTCCAGATTATTTTATAATTGTAGTTCAGCATTCCTGAAGCATCTTTTTAAAATAGACTGTTTTCACATTGTATAAAGCAAAAAGTGCCTGGTTAAGGATGGAAAGGAAAATTAAATCCGTTAAGATGGAAGCAATATGGCTTCTTTGCAGAGATAACAGTGCAGAGCTGGAGGAACACAGCAGATCAGGCAGCATCAGAGGAGCAGGAAAGCTGAAATTTCTGAAGAAGGGTCCCGACCCGAAACATCAGCTTTCCTGCTCCTCTGATGCTGCCTGGCCTGCTGTGTTCCTCCAGCTCCACACTGTGTTATCTCTGACTCCAGCACTGGCAGTTCTTACTACCTCTGGCTTCTTTACAGGTCTAGTTTTACAGTTCCTTTGAATACATAAAACACTATTGACAAATATAAATTCAATTATTCACTAACAGTGTTGGTCAAAGTTGCTTTGATGTATTGAACTTTCAAGAAGCAATTGAACCAATCTTGCCAACAAACCTAAAAAAATCCACTGGTATTTTCTATTTTTTTGAGGCAGAAAACAAAATTAAATCTCTCATATTTTTCACTTAACAGGCAAGGCAGCAGTAGTTAAGACTGATGTTCTGACCATGCGTATGGGGTATTTAACAATTACCTATTAAAACTTGCTCAATACAAGCATCACAGTTGAATCATTAAACTTTAGACAGAGTTTATGAATAACCAAAGTCATTAACAGTGCAAAGGTTTAAAATATTAACCAGATAAATCTTGCATTGCATGTTAGAATCCTTCCCTTAAATAACCGGTGGTTGTTTTACAGGTACTTTGTGTGGCTCACAATTAATGTAGGTGAAAGAGGAATTAAAGTTACAAGTGAATTTTCAAGGAAGCAAAATTGTCTGGGAACACAGGAAAGTGTTAATCGTGTGAAACAAACACAGAATGCTACAGAAACAGAGCAGGGCAGTAACTGTAGAGACAGAAACAGAGCTAACTTTGAGCCCAACAGGACTCTTCTTCCATACTGAATGCTGGGAGCATGTGGCAATCAGGAGATTTGGCTAACATAATTACAGGCTGGTTACTCCAAAAGGAACCCCATTGTAAGAAGCCCTGCAGTCATCATAAAAAAAAAAAATCACTATTCTATTTTCTGTCACATTACAACTTTGTATCCATCACACTGAAGACTGTAAAAGAAAGTCAGCAAATTTGCCAATAGGTCTGCCAAGAGGCTTTTTAAGAGGTCCGTCTGTGCCTCAACTGCATTGCCTGAATCTTGCCACCTTGTTAGAAAACTCAAGCAAGTTGGTTAAACACTATTTTTCCACCAACAAATCCATTCTGCATTAATGTTATCCCAGACTATGGTTTGATCAAGCTTTCTTACCACTGTAGCTGTGGGCTATCGTTGCTGGGCATACTTTTACACCCTTCTCTAATAAGGGTGTAAACATTCACCATTTTCCAATATTCTGGAAATATTCCAACATTTAAAGGCTATTTGGGGAGGAACTAGTCTTCCAAATTTCACTCCTGCTTCCTTCAGTATCAAGATGCATCCTGAGCTGTTCTGGGCAAGTTAATTTAATTTAATCTAATAATGATCTAGTACACTTCCCTTGTTAACTTTTAGCCTATGCAGTATCTCAACTACCTCCCCTTTCACTACAACTTCAGTTAGTACCTTAGCCCTGCCCTATTTCTCTGCAAAAATCCTGTTTTTGGATCATGACTGTTAAGTTGATGTTTGATTACAACACTGCCACAACATCCTCTGTTTAAGTCCTAGTCAGCTCTTTTTACTATCTTTGTGACTGGGGCAACCCAAGTGTTTATATCAGACTGAAAGAGAACACTTGCAAGTATTGAATGAATTGGTTTCAAAAGTTGCTTTGTGGCAGCATTGCAATCAAACATCAATTTAAGCACATGATTAAGCTGCTGGATAATCACAACGTAACCTCTAAAGAGCAGACAGCTTAGGGAGAAGTTGGGAAACAACAAAGAATGATGGCCCCAAAAGGAAAAGCAAGCCTAATTAAAAGGGCAAGAATGCAAAACCAAAACAATTGCAAGCATCTTGCAGAAGATTTTTCTGATATTGGCTTTAGAAACCATTGCATACTTACGAGAAGTAGGCTGGATACAGAAAAATTATTGTATTGATAAAGGGAAACAAAGCTGCTCCATATAAGAACAGAACATACAGGATGGTCAAAACTATCACAGTGAAGAAGAATCTGGTGGCAGTCATTGACATTGTTTGTCATTTAGTATCTGTTATATCTAACTTCATAACGTTACACCTCACGACCAGTAGCTGGGCATGCGTTTCTAGGCTACAGCAGGAATCTGGTGACATCACAGAAGGATTTGTGTTGTCAGAACGGAGAGATTTTGTTGTAGGTTTCATGTAGGGGCTTGTTGCATGAAGAATGTGTCATTAGCATCACAAGTGAAACAAAAGTCAAGTTAAATTATCTTCAATGTGTGCAGTTAAAATTGCTGAAGTTCACAGGATTTTCTATTCAGCTTTCCATTTATCCTACGCGCTCGTTTTAAAGGCTAAAAATTCAAAAGATCAAAAGACGTTATTTAAAACTATACCCCATGATCAATCTTCGTACAAAAAAATAAAACACTACAATAAAAATTTTGAACTAATTTATGAGTTTATTTTAAGTAACAAGTAGTGCATCTAACACATTCTTTGTTCTGCAACACATGGTGTAATCACAGTAAACAATTTATTAAAACATACTGATCCTGCAATCAATAAAGCATTGTCCTTTGGAGAGGAACAAATTATACATTGTTCTCCAAAGTGAGGATTGTCTGTCTGTTCAGCTGTTTGAAACCTGCAATTGCTAATCTGAGGTGGAAAACTCCTCAATGAATTGCACATTTAAGAACTTAATATTTACTTTTTTTCCTGTTGTTTAGTTTTTTTTTAAGCTAGCAGAGATCAACCTTTTTCCTATGGACTCAAGATTGATACTCATAAGGAAATGCTCTCTAAAATGTTAAATTGTGACCAACTTCCAAGTTTGTCAAAGTTGCTTCTGCACTCCTTCTGAAGTTATTTGTATTTATTACGTCTATAGCAACACCCAAATCAACTTCTTTTAAACATGCAAATTACAGAAACTACTATAGTATTTTTAACCTGATGACATAGTGCACTGAGTTCCATCCCAAAGGCTTTGGCTTTTAAAACAGAATGCTCACCTGGCACCCGTTTCTCAAACCACTGGAACAAGAAACCATTGAGAACAAACGCAAAAAGAAAACTCAAAAAAAAAAACCCACTTTGGTAGGGATGTGTTAAGATTCCTAAAGAATATTCAAATCAATCACTTGTAGTTTAAGAAAATACTCTGGAAACATTCACTCAATCTTAATTTTATCACAAAACACAATCATTGGACAATTGGGAGTGTTTGTTGCTTTTATTCAACATCATCTCTACACCAAAATTATGTCATCCTCACCAGAAAACAGCCACAACGGAATTGCTTTTCAGACTCTTCCAAATCCCATTAAAGTCAGTCACTGTATTTAAAGAGTTAAAGTTTTTTCTCTCCCCTCACCAGCCAAGGCAGTTTAAGTAACTGAATGCCAATATTGGTCCCAATAGGAATCTTCATTCCCTCTAAACAGTGTAAAAACAAATGTAATAACTAGAAAAAGGAGGACAATGATAATAATAATAATAATAATAATAATAATAATAATAATAATAATAATGAGAACTTCTGTTGGAAGTCTTAAACCAGAGTTGGAAAACTGACTCACTACAATTCCAGTTCTCAAATGTGAAGGGAAAAAAAAACACCAGATTTACACACACACACACACACACACACACACACACACACACGCCCCAAGGCCAGAAGCAGCAAGCTATGTCCAGGAGACATAATTGGAGCACAATGTACATAAACAATGACTATCCAGTGTATTAAATTTGCTAAACAAGATAGAAGACCTGAATTTTCTGAAAAATCCACTATAAAAACATTACCTGGATTTTCCAGTCAGACAGTATAATTTTAAAATGAGAAAATCGCCCATTGGAGTCAAAAGCAGATTCTGATGCTTTATCAACTTGAGCCAATATATAGCCATAAATTTAAATTTTCTGCAAAACCTCACTTAGAATCAAATTGTTCCTCAACTGTTAGTTGACTATAGATTTCAAAATTAGACTTACAAAGGGTAATCTTAAAAAATTGATATTTATTCAATTTAGTGCATACTTGTACACAATTACATTTAGCAATCTGTCTGAACTTAAAGTACACACTTTGATACTATTTACTGCCCCATTGCATTGTGTGTGTCCTCCCCACCCTATGAAAACCGTGAAAGATTGGAACGGAAGTACAGAAACATGTGCAATCTAAATGGGAATGACCAGAACGCACAGTTGCTACAAAAAGATTTCTTCCGGACAGTTCAGAGGTTTGCACAAAAAGGTCTTGCTGCATACCACTTACATAACCCAGAAAACCGGCTGGATCCGAATTAGAAACAAAATATAACAGAGACAGAAAGAGGGTCAGCATTTGAGAGAAAAAAAAGTCATTTCAGATTTCAACAGAAGATAACACCTGGAAAATGAATGTCCTATGTTTCTCTTTCAGATGCTGATTAACCCGTGACTTTGAGAATTGTAGCTTTTCGGTCATAATTTCAGCAACTCTCTTCCATTGATCAATATCTTGACCTTGCAGACTGTCTGTTCATAGTCCTCAGTTATTCTTGTCTTTTTCAAGATGCAGTTTCATTGCTGAAATAAAAGTACGACAATTAGTATAAAGGGACCATTACGCTGGTGAAAGTTGGGGATGACGAACAAAGAAAAGGTGGGTCACTAAAATCTTTTGAACACTAAAACAAAGTAATTTTTCTGACTACTGATCACCAGACAAAAATATTATTCTTGCCCTCCAATCTTGACTTCACTATTAAAAATATTAAAAACTAAGTTTAAACACCAGTTTAAGTTTTGTTTCAACTTAAAATGGAGGCTATTAAAATAAGCAAGAACATATGAAACAAAGAAGAGTTACACAACGAAGGGAACCAAGTTATGCCAGACAAAGTACACATTGTTGGTTATGGAAAACTTCTACAATAACTTCGACAAAACTTACGAGAAAAAAAAAAAGTGACCTCGAGTTTACTCCTTGGTCATAACCTGGAGATTACCCACCTACCTTAGTAGAATATAGTCAAACTTTTAAAAGATCAGTTTAAAACAGCACAAACAAGTGAAGTCTTAGAAAACTAAAACCTAGTCCCAGTATATTTCTTAAACCAGAGTGCAACATTTAGTCAAAAGCTTTTCAATTGTTAAAATGCAATAAATTATACAATTAGTATAAGAATATCAATAGAAAAGAAAAATGTGAATAGGTCACTGTTCAAAACTAAGACCACCAGAATTAAAAAGTCTTTGCTGAAAATCTGGTTGCAATGTTCAGAGGTCTCCTTGAACATGTGTAATTGGCTGAAACTCCCATTGGAGAGCTGAGTCATGATTTGATGGATGGATGGTTTAAAAAAGAAACTTTGTACTGTAGTTGCACATGTAAGTCAATCATACATCAAAATTCCAATCTTTTCAGCTTTAATTTGTTTACACCATATTTGGGTGTATCTAGACACCAACACACAGGAAACTGAGTAGATTGGGATTATATTCATTGGAATTCAGAAGATTGGGGGGATCTTATAGAAACATATAAAATTATGAAGGGAATAGATAAGATAGAAGTAGAGAGGATGTTTCCACTGGCAGGTGAAGCTAGGACAAGAGGGCATAGCCTCAAGATTAGAGGGAGCAGATTTAGGACTGAACTGAGAAGGAATTTAATCTATGGAATTCCTTGCCCAGTGAAGTAGTTGACGCTACTTCAGTAAATGTTTTTAAAAAAAGGTAGTTTTTTTTGAACAATAAAGGAATTAAGGGATACGGTGAGAACGCGGGTAAGTGGATCTGAGTCCACGAAAGGATCAGCCATGATCTTATTGAATGACGGAGCAGGCTTGAAGGGCCAGACGGCCTACTCCTGCTCCTAGTTCTTATGTTCTTATATAAGTGCCAGGCTGCGGAGTTTCAATCATAAATAAAAAAAATCTTAAGTTTTCTACTTTTCTTAGCAAAATTTAAAAAAAAAAGTGTCATGTTAATGACCTGCATGCCAATATTTACCACAATAAACCATTAAACAGCATAATAATTCAAAGGTTTAGTTTGTACTGTCTTAATAGAGTGCATTAGCCTAAAGTGAATATGTTTGCATATTCTGGCAAGTGAAATGCAAGAAAAACATGTTCAAACACTTCATATTTGTGATTGCAGGGGAAGAGCATGGGCAGGGAAGAATGGGGATGAAAAGAAATGGGATTTGATGTTTTTTTTTTAAGGAAAACCAAAGGCTCAAATTAAATGCTTGGCTGAGAAAAAATATTGGATCATTCTATATACCGAGTTTGACTTACCCACAGGTCAACCATCTTGTATACCTTCCTGTCAATCTACTGACAGCTCACTCTAAAGGTATTGAGCAGCAAGAAGGAAAAATGACAGGTTACGAGACAGGACACATGTACATCCCATTTCCATCAAGAGGCTGATCAAGTATGGTATTAGCTTTTCTAAGCTTACTGATCAACTACCCATTTTGTTTTCTTGGTCATTAGGTATGTACTGATAGTTGGTCACAAAATAACCAGAAAACAGCATATTGTAAAGAAAGGCAGCACAGCAATCCGAAAACTTGAACACTGCAGCACCTCAGAATTATCTGTCAGATTTTCTTGTTCCTCTTATTTTCTCTTCACCCAGGTGTGATTTCTCCTTTTCAGAAGGGGTTTGGTTAAAATTTATTACTATTTACTATTCTTTTAAATTTATAACAGATTAGTAGAAGGATCTGAAATTAAATCCCATGCTGCCCGTAATTCACATTTGTTGTGGATCCTGCATATCACACAGTCATTAAACTGAATAATTAGTGAGTATTGGTGGTACTTAAGTATCATCAAAAAGGGCTTGTGTCAAGGCAAGCTCAAAGTAATGTTTGGAAGTGTAGGATCATGCAATTTTAAAGAAGAATTATTGACCGAAAACATATACACAATCAACACTTAGACATAAAACCACACAAAGCTGTGGTTAAAACATAGATAAAGCTTCTCCTCCCAACAGAGATCAATTTGATAGCACAGAATTAGGGATTGAAGCTTAAGTAGGGTACTTTGAGGACAAAGACAAGTAAGTTGGAAACCCATTTATTTATGAACAAATTGGCCATACAAGCTTCAATTATCTGCACTTTTGAGTTGGAAGTCTCATTTAAAAAACTAACAGCAACTCAGTTAAACACCAAAATATCCACAAATTGCAAATTTCTACCTTGTGTTAAGGGCCAACATAATTCATGAAATAAATTGGTTTCGAACTGGTCACCGTATTTGTTGCAAAGTAAGTGTAGTTGGCAGGCCTGAAGTTTTAATTGATTAGGCACTATTTGAACAATGGGTAGTTTTAACGATGGGTTACTTCAAGATCAAGCTGATCAGAATAAAAATGACCGAGTTGCTGTTAAGGATCAAAAACTTAAGGATCAAAAACTTGACGATCAAATGGGGATTAGTTTACGCCTTTTCCATTGAGAAGTAAGTGGTTATCACCTTAATTAACTAATGAAGGAATCTTTGGATCAAACAATTTGATTTGAAAATCCAATCACAGCTACATGATTTGAAGAAATCTTGTGGTTCCCAAAAGCCTGCTTGGCATTGTTGCAAGCAAACATCAACATTACCATACATACAATATGCAGAAACAAGATCAGAATCCACTGAAAACTATTTAAATATTTATGTCACTTCATATTCTGCAAGTTTAATATTCTACTTTTAGTACTTCACTGCAGTTTATCTTCACTTACAAATAAATTTATGTGGGTGAAATTCACATATTCAGCCCACTGCTGCTTTACGTCTTCTGCAATAAGTTAGGGAAAAAAAAAAGAGGGTTAGTGACGGTGATGATGACGTGGATTGGATTAGATTGGTCAGGACGTGTGAACATAAGCCTAGAAAAGGGAAGCTCGAAATTACAGAACAAACAAACAAATGTCCCAGTAGATAACTATCTAGGACATCAGCCTCAATACAGGACAGTCCCAGAAATTTGGTCATCAAGTGAAGCATCAGTGCTTTTTAATTTGGAAGAAAAAAGCTCTTAACCAATTTTCTTTCTCCGTTGACTTTGAAAAGAAAATTGGAATGAATGTGAAAACTGGCAGCCAAATAAGCATTTCTTATTTTTATTGCTAATTCATGGAATGGTTTGCTTCAACAACCAAGATAAATTTCACACTTACCTTCAGCCAGAAGGTCAGTGAAACTAGGTGCCTTTGAAAGCAAACAAGAGAATATGGTGGCATTCATGTGCTGAACACTGCAAAACACCATTGCTAATTGGCAATTAGTAGGTGTACACATTTTCCTACTTGTGTTGCATTCAGAATGCTAGCGCTGACTCGGGAACACTAGAAACCTTGGTTATATAAAAACTGCTTTTCATTATAACAAAAATAGCCAAGGAGAAAATAAACTGAATACAGTGACAGGAAAGCCTAATTCTTTTAGCAAGCACCAACAACGTTACTTTGTATTTTTAAAAAATTGTGTCATCTACAAACAAGGGAGAGTGAGTGAGCGAGCGAGATAAATTGTCTTACAGGAGAGTTGTTCTTTCCACAAGTAAATTCTGCAGCCCCACTTGTATCTTTTTCATACTCTCTGGATGACACTCTCAAAGTTAGTGGTAAAAGGGCAGAGATAGAAGCATGGCTCTTAGTGAGGACTAAATTAAACGCACTAAGTTATTGCTATCCATCTTTCAACTATAATGAGACAAAAATGCATTACTTCCAGATGGGCAACATATTACAAGGATTTATAAGTTGATGATATAAAGCAATAACTGGAAATAGTATATTTAAAATGATCATAAAATGTTAACTATAGAAGAAGACAGGGACTAGAGCTGATGGAAACTAATTAAATTACAAAAAGGACACTACGTTGTCAGCTAGAGAGAAACTTGGATTATCATGACATTGGTTTTCCATCAGATGGAAGAGTGGGAGACTAGTCATGTGTTATTGTGATTAGCTTTAGGATATTCAAATGAAAGTCATCCTTCTTGTTGTAGTAAGTATTGTTTAAGAATCAATTTAGCCAATGATTTGAATTTATATGCAAAGTAACAGCTCTCTGACTCAAAATGAGCAAAGCAATTGATCTCATTTTCTATAGTCACAATTTTGACTTTCAGAACATTAATTTGATACCTAATACTTTAAAACAGGCAAGAATCACATTCTCTCAGACCACCTTAAAATGTGGCCATCACAAAAGAGAAATAAACCTCAACAAACGTACACCAATATCTTTCAATAATAATGGAGCAGATTGGATCACATGGATTCTATTAAAAAGAGGTCATGATAAACCAAGAAGTATCATTGTCTGGTCTAACAGAAGCCCGGGCTGTTTTGTTACATACAGACACATTAGGCAACGGTTTAGGTCCTGCATCTGTCCTTACGAACTTCTTGCTGCTACAAAGTGTCTGTAAGACTAAAGCAAAAATAAACAAAAAAAAAGGTACAATTTATAAAAAGCTGCCTGAATTAGATTTCAGATTGTTACGTTTGGCACAGCAATTAAAACATTCAATAAGTACAACTTAACACTGCCCATGTG